ATGACTAAATACTAAAATGTAATAATAATAATTTATGTATAATACTAAAATGACACCGATGAATGAGAATATTGCTGAGATTCATAGGACTAAAATAAACGTGGATGGCAGCTCAGATCATTTGATCTTGTAAGAGTTTGATGTGTTCATACTGAAATCTTATTCTTTTTATCTTCTCAAATCTGAGCACTATTTGAGACATTGTTGAGATCTCTTCTGAACAACAGAGGAGATGCATTTGAGATTACAAGGGCCTTTTTTTCAGGAAAACATCTGAAAAATTCAAGCTCAGTGCCATATGTCGGTTTGTTTCCTCTCTCTCTCGCTCTCTCTCTCTCTCTCTCTCTCTCTCTCTCTGTGTGTAGATGGACCTGCGGTTGTGGTCGGTGCTCCAGGTTCTCCTCTACAGGTGAAGTGTTCTGATGTGAACCGGGATTACGTGTTCCTCTCGTGGATTCCTCCCAGCGCAGACGGAGCTGCTGCTGTGCAGGGTTACTTCATAGAGAGGTGAAGCATGAGCCACGATGTCCTTCTGACGGCCGCTCTCATGAGCTCTCATCTTAAGAGAGATCCGAGCAGCTTCAAGCTGTTTCTAGGGATAAAACTTGAAATGAAAGACATCATGGTGAGAGAGTACGAGCGGCTAACCTTCCTGTTTCCTAGCAACATGCTGCTTCACTCTACAATGTGCTGCCAGTTTTTGTCTTGTTGGCTTGTGTTTAGTTTTTGAAGATAATTGTATCTTATTATGTATACTTGTGGAGTCCAAAAGTCTGAGACCACCACTGAAAATTCTTCTGTTTTGCCTTTTTTTTATACAATTATTTTTCCATTATGAAACTAAATTATAAGCATAATAGTTTGAATGAAAAGTTGACTGAATTTCTAAATATCCAAACATTTGGTTTGTCCTTTTTGTACTTTAATGACAGAGTTTTAGAATCAGAATGACATTTATTGCCATTTATTGTTCTGTCAGACAAAATAATAGCTAAGACAGATAATAAAAATGAAGATACACAAATTAAAAGTATATTATATAAAAATACACAAAAGACAAAATAGACAATATTTGTCAAACTTTATATAGACAAACTTTGGTGTTCTAAATTATTGCTAGGGTGTTGCTTGGGGCTAGATTTAATGCATTGCTGTACTATTTCTTGAGTGTTCAGAATGGTTGCTAGGGCATTGCTAGGGGTTGCAATGTTCTGAGAGGTCTTTAATGCATTGCTATGCTGTTGCTAATGTCTTTTGAGTGGTTGCCAGGGCGTTTCTAGGGGGTGAAAAGTTTTGAGTGGATTTAAATGCATTGCTATGCTGTTGCTAAGGTGTACTGAGTGGTTGCTAGGACATTGCTAAGGGTTGCAAAGTTCTGAGGGGTCTTTAATGCATCGCTATGCTGTTGCTAGGGTGTCCTGAGTAGTTGCTAGGGGTTGCAGAGTTCTGTGTGTTTTTTAACGCATTGCTATGCTGTGGCCGGTGTGTTGCTATGGGGTTGCTCATAAGTTCAGAGTAGTTTTTAATGCATTGTTATGCTGTTGTTTGAGTGTTCTGAGTGGTTGCTAGGGCATTGCTAAGGGTTGCAAAGTTCTGAGAGGTCTTTGATGCACCGCTATTGCTAGGGTGTCCTGAGTAGTTGCTAGGGGTTGCAGAGTTCTGAGTGTTTTTTAATGCATTGCTATGTTGTGGCTGGTGTGTTGCTAGGGTGTTGCTACGGGGTTGCTCATAAGTTCAGAGTAGCTTTTAATGCATTGTTATGCTGTTGTTTGAGTGTTTTGAGTGGTTGCTAGGGCGTTGCTCAAATATTCAAAGTAGTTTTTCATGCATTTTTATGATGTTGCTTGATTCTTCTGAGTGGTTGCTAGAGTGTTGCTAAGGGTGCACAGTTGTTCAGAGTAGTTTTTAATGCATTGTTATGCTGCTGTTTGAGTGTTTTGAGGTAGGGCTGCACGATTATGACAAAAATCATAATTTTCGATTATTCCCTTGAAAGTGTAATTGCAATTATTAATTATGATTATTACAATTTACATTGAATGCATGCCATATATTGATATGAAAGCGGAAAACACTCTTCTTGAAAAACTTTTCTATAGCATTAAGCCTCAAATCTCAACTATACATTGGTTTGGTTTCTTCTTTAAATAAAAAAGTAAAAATATGCATGGTATTATAATGTTATACTAAAAAATAAAATTCAAACAATGGACAAAACCCTTAAGCTAACCTGTAGAAAGAAAAAAACACACCTTAAGCACGCAGAATAATGTAAGTGGATTTTTTTATTTTTTGAGGAGCAGCAAGGTTTCATAATGCGAACCAGTAGTTTAACTGTAATTCACATGCATCCTCATCACTAGATAAATAAGCACTCTGTTACAAACCCTAGTGAGCTGCCTTGCTGTCTGTGATCTACATCGGCAGTTGCCTTCTAAGAAAGCATCCTAACTGACTCGCAATTGATTTCAGTACAGTTTGGCAACTAAGTCATACATATAAATGCATCTAAATGCTTAACCCTCTAAGCATTTACAGTGGGGCAAAAAAGTATTTAGTCAGCCACCAATTGTGCAAGTTCTCCCACTTAAAAAGATGAGAGAGACCTGTAACTTTTCACTTTAATTTAAATTTAAGTTTTGGGTTTTTTTGTCACTTTTATTAGGTTCTATTAAATGTATGTATAATTTTTATGAATTGTTATTTGTTAGTTTTAGTATATTTAGTTTTAGTTATTTTAGTACCTCAAATTAGGACTAAACGAAAATGAGAAATGTTGCCTTTTTTATACTTCGAAATATTATATTTATATATTTTTGTTTTATTTTTTATTATTTTAAATTGTTTTTTTTGTTTTTTTTAGTTAATGTTTATTTTATTTCAAATAATTCAATGTTTTTATGGTTTTAGTTAACAATAATAACCCTGGTCTAGTGTGACCATGCCTTTACCCGTTCTCCATGAGTCCCTAGCTCTCCTGCTTTTTTCTGCATGCTGTATGTTGCCAGCGTTCTGCACCATTCTCAATGTCTCCTCTTTGCCGTCCACAGGTCAAATCCGAGTACCGTTCCCCCCCACTGATATGCGAGTTTGTGAACTTAGTGACACCTACGCTGTGCTGAGCTGGACTGAACCGGAGCCAAGGGGCAGAGAGCCTCTCACCTACTTCGTGGAGCGGGTGAGAGTTGACCTTCATCCCACGCACTGCTTGCAGTTCAGTTCATTAAGACCGGCCCTGCGGCGTCCTGCGCTCCTGCGCTTGTCGTTTTTACCCTCGACTGCAGGCCTTACAGTTGCATTGGCTTTACACACCGAGCCAAATTAACATAGCACTTTGACTAGCTGGCTAATTAGAGACTGTGAAAGCTGTATCCTGGGTGGCAGCAGGTGCAAAGCGAATGGTTCATTAAAAGCATAGAGACCTTAATGCAGCTCATCCGGTGTTATGTGACGGCTGCATAATGTGTTTCCTTTCCACTTCAAAGCACTTGTTATATTTCTGAGATGTGCTTTGGTTTGCATGTGTGACTTTGAGCAGACAGAATCATCTTTTTAGACTAGATGTATGCATCTTTGCAATCCATGCACAAAATGTTTAGGCACTCTGTTAAAAAATAACTAGCAACCCAAAGCTAGTTAACTGGACAGATCTAGTTTGTTGACTTGTTTTATTCCACAAGTTGCTTTGGATAAAGCATATTAATGAATAAATATAAAAATGTAAATGTTGGGTTTGATGGGTTCAGTGTTATCTTAGTATTATTTATTTACTATAAATAATATTTATTGATATTTTAAAATAAATTTGTATTTTTTTATTTTCAGTTTTATTTTTAATTGTTTTTTTTTATTTCGGTATTAGTCATTTTAAAGTACTTCAACTTAATCTTATTTATTTCAGTTAATTGCCAAGACAATCTATAATTCCCTTTCAGTCGGTCACTCTGAGTCCCATCGGTGACTGACGAATTGGGATCTCGCTTAGAGAGACCAATCCACTTCGAGTGTAAACTAAACAAGCCAATGCACATTGGCATGCGATGATTGCATCCAGCTGCCGCTGATCACAGCGTGAGCATAAAAAGGCAGCAAATGCAACACATACCAGCTTTTCGCTTCGGAGCCAAGCGACAACATCGTTCTGCTCCTACCAAACTGCTTCATGTGTGACGAGTCTAGCGTGCTCACGGGAGCTTTTTGTGTTGGCGGACGGCGCTTCAGCGGTGGTCGTTCCTGTGTCGAGTGGGTTGCGCACTTCAGGCTGCATTACCCCCTGTCGTGCTGCAAACGGCCATTTCCCCTGTGCGTCTCAGCACATAAAAGAGCATTTCCCTAAAAGAGCCAATTTCTCTAAAAGAGTACAATAAGCGAGTGCGTCTTTGTAAAGATGACGGATCGTCTTTTTAAAGATGCCATTTCACCCGTGCGTTTCTGGATGCGGTCGTTACCTGGCGCCGGGTGACCGTTCAAGATGTTGATGCAGAAACGAATCTTCGGGTGCATCCGTCCCCGAGATTGGTTTGCAGCAATCGACCTGAAGGATGCGTACTTTCATGTGTCGATCCTTCCGCGCCGCAGACCATTTCTGCGGTTCACATTCGAAGGACGAGCATATCAGTATGAGGACCTGCCCTCCGGGCTGTCCCTGTCGCCCCGTGTCTTCACGTAAGTGGAGGCAGCCCTTGTTCTCCTGAGAGTACAGGGCATTCCCAACTACCTCAACGACTGGCTCATGCTAGCTCAGTCTCAGCATCAGTTGTGTGCACACAGGGACTTGGTGCTTTCGCACCTCAGCCGGTTAGGCATTCAGGTCAACTGGGAAAAGAGCAAACTCTCCCCGATGCAGAGGATCTCTTTTCTCGGTATGGAGTTGAATTCGGTCGAACAGACAGTGCGCCTCACAGAGCAACGTGCGCGGTCGCTGCTGAGCTGCTTGAATTTGTTCAAGGGCAGGACAGCGGTCCCACTGAAACTATTTCAGAGGCTCCTGGGGCATATGGCAGCTGCAGTGGCAGTTACGCCGCTGGGGCTGCTTCATATGAGACCGCTCCAGCACTGGCTTCATGGCCGAGTCCTGAGGTGGGCGTGGCAGCGCGGCACTCACCGGGTCCAAGTTACACCGGCCTGTTTCCAAACCTTCACCCCGTGGTCAGACCATACGTTCCTCCGGGCAGGAGTGCCCCTAGAACAGGTCTCCAGGTATGCTGTGGTTTACACGGATGCCTCCACCACCGGCTGGGGGCCACGTACAACGGGCACGCAGTGTCGGGGATGTCCAGACCCAAACTGCACTGGCATATCAATTGCCTAGAGTTGTTAGCAGTGCGCCTTGTCTTGAACCGTCTCAAAGGGTGCTTATGAGGCAAGCACGTGCTGGACCGAACGGACAACATGGCGACCGTTGCGAACATCAACCGACAAGGTGGTCTGCGCTCCCATCACAACTCGCCTGCCACCTCCTCCTTTGGAGTCAAAAGGTTCTGAGGTCACTTCGTGCCATTCACATTCTGGGTCTGCTCAACCGTACGGCCGACGAGCTGTCACAAGCTACGCTCCCGGGAGAATGGAGGCTCCATCCCCAGACGGTCCACTGTTTTGGAGACGTTTCGGAGCCGCTCAGGTAGACCTGTTTGCCTCTCCAGAAACCTCTCACTGCCAGTTGTTCTATTCCCTGACCGAGGGAACACTCGGCACCGACGCACTGGCACACAGCTGGCCATGGGGCCTGCACAAGTATGCGCTTCCCCCAGTAAGCCTTCTCGCACAGACGCTGTGCAAGGTCAGGGAGGACGAGGAGCAGGTCCTGCTTGTGGCGCCGTGTTGGCCCACTCGGACCTGGTTCCCCGAACTAATGATCCTCGCAACAGCCCCTCCCTGGCAGATTCCTCTGAGGAAGGATCTACTGACTCAGAGACGGGGCACCCTGTGGCACCCGCGTCCAGACCTCTGGAAACTTCATGTCTGGTCCCTGGACGGGACGTGGAGGTTCTTGAGGTAGTACCTCTTTCCCCAAGAGGTAGTTGACACCATCACTTTGGCGAGAGCACCGTCTACGAGACACGATTACTCCTTGAAGTGGAACCTGTTCGTCGAGTGGTGTTCTTCTCGTTGGGAAGACCCCCGGAGATCCCAGATTGGGGTTGTGCTTTCCTTTTTGCAGCAAGAGTTGGAGAGAAGGCTGTCTCTCTCCACCCTTAAAGTCTATGTCGCTGCGATTGCTGCTAACCATGACCCCGTGGAAGGGAAGTCGGTAGGGAAGCATGATCTGGTCATCAGGTTCCTTAGGGAGAAGGCTAAATCCTCCCCGGCCCTTCTCTGTACCCTTTTGGGACCTGTCTCTAATCCTACAGCACTACAGCAATGCCGTCTCTAAGCAGAGGATGGCCCACTGGATTGTGGATGCCATCACCCTGGCTTATCAGGCACAGGGTTTAGTGTCGGCTCGCTAAAACTGCTCCAGAGTGTCCGTACTGTAGGCCCTGTCCATCTCCTCCGTCCCCTCGGCAGCCAGACATGGCAAAACGTCTGGCGCCAGGCCCTCACACGCTGAGTCCGTGAGAACCGGTAGAGGGCTGGGTTCTATATGTAGAGACCTAAGTGGTTCCCATATGTGTAAAGTCCACGTATAGCCTCAGAGCCCGTGTTTCCCCAGCAGACTTCTGCCATTTCCATGATGGTTACAATCACCTCTAATCTTCCATATGCACCTAAACGGATGTCATATGTGTAAGTGCTTCCGAAACCTCCTTCGGGAAGGATGGGGCTTCCGCAACGTTCCTGTTCCAAGTGGAACGGGTACGTTTTCCCAGTGTTATCCAATCTCACTGAGTGGGTAGTGCTATGACAACAGTGACTGGTCTTCTTGTTGCGAGCTCTGGCCTACACCACAAAGGGGTGCAGGTGGCTCACACAGGACACTGGAAGGGGCAGCATCCATGGCGCTTTGGTAGGGATCCCAATTCGTCGGTCACCGACGTGACTCGGAGTGACCGACTGAAAGGGAATGTCTCGGTTACGTATGTAACCCTCATTCCCTGAAGGAGGGAAAGGAGACATCACATCCAGTCGCCACGGCTGCTGTACCACCACTGAGCAGCCGGGTCACAGGCTCGGCTCCTCAGTGAAAACCTGGTATGCGTTGCATTTGCTGCCTTTTTATGCTCACGCTGTGATCAGCGGCAGCTGGATGCAATCATCGCATGCCAATGTGCATTGGCTCGTTTAGTTTACACTCGAAGTGGATTGGTCTCTCTAAGCGAGATCCCAATTCGTCGGTCACTAACGTGACGTCTCCGTTCCCTCCTTCAGGGAACGAGGGTTACATACGTAACCGAGACGTTTTTTAATTTTACATTTTTCATCTAATATTTATTTATTTATTTTTGAATTGTTTTATTTTCAGATTTCTTTTTAATTTTAGTTTTAGTAATTTTGTTATGTGTGTGTTTTTTTATTATTATTATTGGTGTTTGTTTTTTAAAAAAATTCAGCATCTCTAGTATAAGTTTACATTTTTCATCCAATACTTATTTTATTTCATTTTTTTTTCACTTGCCGAAAATTTTATTTTAGTCAACAATAACAACACTGGATGAGTTCAGTATATGAAAACATATCCTAAAAATCCTAATATATTTTTTTAAATTATAACATTTGAATTTATGCACTTTACAGAATATTTTTCCCTGGGAATCGAACCATGACATTGCCGTTGCAAGCAGCATTGCTCTTCCTGTTACTAGAATAAAAATTACATAAATTTCACTGTTGAACACTGAACTTTAGCAGTCAACACTGCAAGCATTCAACTGCAACTTTGTTCATTAAAATGCATTCTATTATAGTTGCATTGCAAAAAAAATTCAGCATCTCTAGTATAAGTTTACATTATTCATCCAATAAATTTTTTTTTCACTTGCCGAAAATTTTATTTTAGTCAACAATAACAACACTGGATGAGTTCAGTATATGAAAACATATCCTAAAAATCCTAATATATTTTTTTAAATTATAACATTTGAAGTTATGCACTTTACAGAATATTTTTCCCTGGGAATCGAACCATGACATTGCCGTTGCAAGCAGCATTGCTCTTCCTGTTACTAGAATAAAAATTACATAAATTTCACTGTTGAACACTGAACTTTAGCAGTCAACACTGCAAGCATTCAACTGCAACTTTGTTCATTAAAATGCATTCTATTATAGTTGCATTGCATCACTATCTGTATGTATATCTGATTTCTGGGCAAATCCAGTAACCCTAGCAGACATTAAATTAGCTTGGTAAAAATGTAATGTTACAGAGCAAATAAAATGACCCGACAGGCTTAACACAAAAAAAAAAAACATTTTTAAAGTTTAGCTTCTCGGTTTCTGATGTCCATGGCCTCCAGCACTGCAAAAGGTCAAGATCCTTCTGGTTTTTCGAGGGCAGTTTTAAAGTTTCAGATCCTCTCTTCGTTAATCACAGTGTAAAAGTGCTCGGAGTGATTCGTTCTCAGAGCAGAGGAGGTCGAATCTTCCAGTTTTAGGCACAAGAAAGAGCTCCAGCAGCTCGCTGACTCTGTAATGAGCAGGAGAATGCACACACTGCCACAGGACATGCACTTATTGGACTCTTTATAAGAAGAACCATAATAAAACCGTCTAGTTCTTCGGGATCATCTGAAATTGTGGGGGCAGAAATACATATACTGTATGAAAAATATTTAAATTCACATTTACCACCGGGCACATTTTATTATAGAGGATATTGCAATACTTTATCTTCATGGAGACTTGCTACTTTATGCAAGTGAAATTTATAGTTAAAAAATACAATTATATATATACAAAAAATTATCAATTCCAGGCAAAATAAACACATATACTGGCAAAAACTTATTTTTGTCTGATTTCTGATCTGTACGTTTTTATATATGTAAATTTTTTAAACTATGAATTGCACTTGCATAAATTATATATATATATATATATATATATATATATATATATATATAAATTCAAGGGAACACACATGCTAACCAAAAAAAAAAAAGTCTAATTTCTGGTCTGTATATTTTTTTATATGTACAAAATATTTTATGTGTGATTGTCCATTTATGTGAAAATGTTGACTTAATGTGATTTTATTTTTATTTTTAAAACTAAATTAAACGTACATAAGTTATATATACAAAAATGTATAATATACAGACCACAAATTAGAAAATCCTAAGGAACACACGTGCTGGAAAAACACTATTTTTGTCTAATTTCTGCTCTGCATATTTTTAAATCTGTAATTTTATTTTATTTTTTTATAAAAAAATGCAAGTGTAACTTATAGTTAAAAAAATTACATATACAGACCTGAAATTAGACAGAAATAGGTTTGATTCAATGAACACACATACTGGCAAAATGTTTAGCTTGAATGTACTGTAAGTCGCTTTGGATAAATAATAAATAATACATTACAGTACACTACAGTCTGCGATTGCTAACACACAATTCATGAAACAATTCACCATTTTCTCACAACTATAAACACAATCTCAAAACTACACACAAACATGTGCAAACTTCAAACTTCCAGGTCAAAATCAAACATTTTAGTCAAAAACGTGTTCTCTTTTGTCAGACTCAAACTTTGGACTCAGATGATACACAAACCTGTCAAATGCTGCCTAGAGAACACTAGTGAGATCAATTCAAAACACTGTTACAAAAACCTCCTTTTGGGAAATAGGAATCATTTTGCTAGTCAGTGTCTGGTACAGTATATGACATAAATAGAGGGGTGCAGATACAGTAAAATTCAGCAATAAGCTGAAAGAAAACTTTACTTCCATTACACTACTGTAAAGGATCTTACAGTAGATGAAAAGCACTACAAGAGAAAAGTTCAAAGACCAAATATATACAGTAAACAAAAATATACAGTGAATATACAGTAAACACACATTGGAATAAAAAAATTCATTCATTCATTCAGCATCATCTGCCAAATTGCATTACAGTATTGGTAGTATCCTTATTACTGTAGTTATAGCCGTTTCTTAGTCTTCTGACAAAAGACTCCTCTGCCTCCCCTAGACAGTCGTCTCTCAGTTCCTCAAAAATAGAGCACATGTAAGGACTACTTGGCTACAAATCAATTCAACAGTAATGAGTTTGTACAACATGTACTACAGTATTTACTGTACATAGAATAATGAAAGTTCTCTCATCTGAAGTACTGCTACTATGTACTGTAATAATATTGTGTGTGTAAGTAGTATTGAAGCCCTGTAGATGAGTCTGCCCTGTAGGCCAACTTCCCTCATGGTCAGTCCATGCAGAAGAACATGGTCAACTATAGTTTTTTGTATTTCATCAGGAACAAATGACCTTTGACCTTATCCAATTAATTATATTTTCTTATTTTTCCTATTGCTTTTCCATCCATCTCCCACTACTATTGGGCCAAATGAATCAGTTATAGTGTGTTAGCAATCGAGAAAAACTGTAATGTAAAGATGACTGTTTTGATTTCAGTCCCTAACAGGGAAGGAGAGCTGGCATCTGGCTAGTATGGATATGACGGTTCTGTCTACAAGATTTGCTGCGTTTGACCAGCGGAAGGGAAAGTCATACACTTACCGTGTTCGCTCTGTTAACAAGTATGGCATCAGCGAACCGTCTCTTCCCAGTGAACCCATCTCAGTGGGACAGCCGCTAGGTAATCATTTTCTTAAAGGAACAGTGCACATATAATAAAAATTTGTCATTATTTACTCACACTCAAGTTGTTCCAAACCTGTATGAATTTGTTTCAGCTTTTGAACACAAAAAAAGATATTCTGAATAATCTTGGTAACCAAACAGTTGATGGTAGCCATTGACTCCCATAGTATAGAAAAAATACTATGGAAGCCAATGGCTACCGTAAACTCTTTAGTTACAAACATTCTTCAAAGTACCTTCTTTTATGTTTAGAAGAAGAAAGAAACTCATTCAGTTTTGAAACAAGTGGAGGGTGAGTAAATGATAATTGTTTTTTGGGGTGAACTGCACACTTCTTTTCCACAAGGGTAGCGTGTATGTAAACCAGTATGTTTGAGAGAGGGTTTTCTGTCTTTTAGGAGTTCCTGCCCCACCACACGGCGTCCTGTCCATCCGAGACACCAACAGCTCTGTCCTGTTGCAGTGGAAGGAGCCCAAAATAACAGAGGGTATTGTGGGATACTATCTGTACTGCAGTGAGGTTGGAAGTGGACAGTGGAAGACCATCAATAATAAGCCCATCACCAAAACCAGGTCTCTCCTTGTATCCTGTTTGAGAGGCAGTTAAAGGAATAGTTCACACAAAACTGAAAATTCACTGTTAATTTACTCACCATCATCCCATCCAAGATGTAGATGACTTCTTCTTCAGTAGAACAGTAAAGAAGATTTTAGCTGAAACCGTGGTGCTTGGTGATTCATAAAATCCAATGGCTACCGTCACTTTGAGAGTCAAAATAAGCATATCAGGCAACACAAAATTAATATCCATGGCTCCTGACGATATATTGAGGTCTTATGAAGCGAAATGATCAGCCTGTGCAAGAAACTGAATATTATTTACTACATTATTACCTGTAATCCAGGTATTAATGTTGTAAATGACCTGAGGGTGAGTAAATTAACAGCACATTTTCATTTTTGGTTGAAGTATCCCTTTAAGACATGTAATCTACAAAACCTACTAAAACTGGTTTCCTTCTTCGCTCAGGTTTACAGTTGATGGCCTGAAGACCAATAAAGAGTATGTATTCCGGGTGAAGTCCGTGGGACTGGCGGGAAACAGCATCTACTCTGAGGAGTCTCCTGCCGTTCGAGTGAAATCAGCGATATGTAAGAGTCTGACCCGCCTGTGAACCAGACCAGACCCTGCAGGACAGCAGTTTTAAATATGATGCCGTTTTGTCTAAAGTGCTGCTGGCTGTCCGCTTCAGCTCGGGAAAACCGTTTATAGTCTCAGTGTGAATTGATCATTCTATGATTGAGCTTCCTGCATGACCAGATACAGCTGATTGACTCTTTTGACTTGGGCCAGTGAGCAACCACCTAACATACCCTAGCAACCACCCAGAACACCATAGCAACCACTTAAAATGCTCTAGCAAAAATCACAATATTCTAGCAATCACTCAGAACACACTAGGAACCACTTAGAAATGCCCTAACAACAAACCAAGAACAACCTAGCCACCACCTAGCAACCATCTAGTCAAATTTATTTCTATAGCACAAGCAATAGGCCATAACACCCTAGAAACCATCTAGAAATAATGCCCTAGTAACCGCCCAAAACACCATAGCAACCACATGGCAACCCCTTAGAAAACCACCTCCATTAGCAGAGCCCTAGTAACCACATAGAATGCCCTAGAAATTAGTTAGCAATGCCCTAGCAACTGTCTAGTACACCATAGCAAGCACCTAGAAATGCCCTAGCAACCACCCAGCAGTGACCTAGCGACGCATCAGTACACCCTAGTAACCACCCATAACGCCCTAGAAACCAACTAGAAATCAAGTCAAATTTATTCAACCACCCACAGTAGCAGAGCCCTAGCAACCACCCAGAGCACCCTAGCAACCATCTAGTGATGCACTATAACCACCCAGAACACCCTAGCAAACCACCCACAGTAGCAGAGCCCTAGCAACCACCCAGAACACCCTAGCAACCATCTAGCATTGCCATAGCAACCAACCAAGAACACCCTAGCCACCACCTAGCAACCATCTAGTCAAATGTATTTCTATAGCACAAGCAATAGGCCATAACACCCTAGAAACCATCTAGAAATAATGCCCTAGTAACCACCCAAAACACCATAGCAACCACATGGCAACCCCTTAGAAAACCACCTCCATTAGCAGAGCCCTATTAACCACATAGAATGCCCTAGAAATTAGTTAGCAATGCCCTAGCAACTGTCTAGTACACCATAGCAAGCACCTAGAAATGCCCTAGCAACCACCCAGCAGTGACCTAGCGACGCATCAGTACACCCTAGTAACCACCCATAACGCCCTAGAAACCAACTAGAAATCAAGTCAAATTTATTCGACCACCCACAGTAGCAGAGCCCTAGCAACCACCCAGAGCACACTAGCAACCATCTAGTGATGCACTATAACCACCCAGAACACCCTAGCAAACCACCCACAGTAGCAGAGCCCTAGCAACCACCCAGAACACCCTAGCAACCATCTAGCACTGCCATAGCAACCAACCAGAACACCCTAGCAACCATCTAGCATTGCCATAGCAGTACACCCTAGCAGCAACCAGAACACCCTAGCAACCATCTAACTATGCACTATAACCACTCAGAATACCCTAGCAAACCACCCACAGTAGCAGAGCCCTAGCAACCACCCAGAACACCCTAGAAACCAGATAGCAATGCCTAGCAACCACCCAGTATACCCTAGCAACAACCCAGAACACCCTAGCAACCGTCTAGCAATGCACTCTAACCACTCAGAATAACCTAGCAAACCACCCACAGTAGCAGAGCCCTAGCAACCACCCAGAACACCCTAGAAACCAGATAGCAATGCCTAGCAACCACCCAGTATACCCTAGCAACAACCCAGAACACCCTAGCAACCGTCTAGCAATGCACTCTAACCACTCAGAATAACCTAGCAAACCACCCACAGTAGCAGAGCCCTAACATCCACCTAGAACACCCTAGCAAACACATAGCAATGTGCAAACTTTTCAGGCCTTAGCAACCTCATATTAATTCCCTAGAAACCACCCACAACACTCTAACATTGTGTTCAGTAAATGTAAACGTCTACTTGTGTTTAACGTAGCATTCTGCTGTCAGTAGAGTACAGAGGTCGTTTCAAGCTTCGTTATATGGAGCAGAAGAGGTGAGGTGAGGTGAGCACACGTGATGCTCCTCCTGCTCCTCACAGTCGTGACCAAAGACAGGCCTGTTACAGCAGAGAATGGCTCAGTCCTGACAGTAATAGACTGTCGTCTGACGCTTCAGCCTACTTAACCATATTTTGGGGACTTCCTCGTTTGTAAAACTGGTATAAAAGTTTTTTTTAATTTGTAAAAATGCAGAAAGTTTCCTGTAAGGGGTAGGGTTGGTGTAGGCTGAGAGAAAATAGAGTTTGTACAGTATAAAAACCATTACGCCTATGGAATGTCCCCATTTAGATAGCTAAGTAAACGTGTGTGTGTGTGTGTGTGTGTGTGTGTGTGTGTGTGTGTGTGTGTGTGTGTGTGTGTGTGTGTGTGTGTGTGTGTGTGTGTGTGTGTGTGGATAAAAGCGTCTGCTAAATGACTAAATGTACATGTAATAGCAAACATGATGTGGTTGACTTTAGCAGTGCAACGCAGCAGCCTGTGACCTCTGACCTTCCTCTGCCCATTACTGCAGATGTTCCATCTCGTCCATCAGCCATCACTCTACTGCGCTGCACCGGAGCAGAGATGCTGATTGGCTGGAGAGCCCCGGCCAATCACGGAGGAGACCCTGTGCGCGGCTACTTCCTGGACCAGAGGGAGAAATCCCAGAGTTCCTGGAGAGAGATCAGCATCAAGCCCACTAAAGAGAGAGTGTACGAGGTGAGCTGAGAACAGCACGATTCAATCAGCCGTTTACAGTACCAGCAGTTTCCATGCTGTCTTTGTGATCAGCTGCTCTTTTGTTACATGCTGTAAATCAGTCATAAATACTGTTTATTGCTCAATATTTCATTGCAGTCATGCCAAGAAATGTTTGACCTGCTCTTCTGCCTTCGTCTAACTTTAAATGTGTCGCCGAGCAACCATGGTGTCCATGGAGACTTCATTAAAACTTAAAGCGCTGTTTATTTTTGATTGTTTTCACGGTTTAATTGGACCGTGTTCTAGCTTGAACACAAAATAGTGGTTTGATGAAAAAAGTGATTGTTAGAGAAGGTGATGTTTAATTTGTGGAGTTTATAGACAGAGGCCACGGCCGTTATCGTTTTAAAGCAGGATTAAAGCAGGTCTGTCATTAGTTGATGCAGATGCGTGTAAACTTAATTATTAAACAGTTGTTGTTTTGTTCACGCTGACATTCTCAGCTGATTATTGGTTATTAAAACAGGGATTTTAAGCATGATAATGAACAAAGCTGTCCACAAACACAGTGCAAATCTGTGTTCTGTTTTGAAATAAAAAATCTATGACAAAATGTTCTTTTAGATGAGCATTAGTTTGTTTTAGATCATTAAAATGCTTTGATTTTGGTCTGCACCACATCAGAGGTCTTGACTTTCTCTGCTGCATTTAATAATTAAAATCAAACAACAATAAATATATAATCAAACTAAATCTATTGAATTGGTATTCAGTTAATTGATTCATTTATATTTTATAGAAAATAAAATAATAATTAAAATTTATTTATTTATTTATTTATTTAAATGTTAGTATAGGTTTTTTTTTCTTTTCATTTTTATTTAATTATTTAATTAATTTAAAAAAATTAATCAGTTTAATTGTGCCCTAATTATATGGCCCAAATACAACACCCCACACAGTGTTAAGGTATTGTGGGCCCTGTTATTTTAGTAATATTTATATAATATTTATTAAGTATGTAGTATTTATCAATATTTTGAATTAGATTTTATTTTGATTTTAATTTTTTATTTTAATTTTAGTTTATTTTAGTCATTGTGGTATGTGCTTTTTTTTCTTTTTTTAGTTTTTGTGCTATTTTATGTTTCTTTTTCATTTTTTATTTCTATTTATTTCTTTGTTTTAGTTTGAGATTTTTGTGCGTACTTCAACTTCAACTTATTTTATTCCAGTTAGTTGCCATGGCAACATTTACATGAATAAAAATAACCTCTGAAATAATAAAATTAAGACTGAAATAAAATTAACAAAATCTATATAGACATATAAAAAAAACTAAAAACAAATAGGAACAAAAACAATTTAAAAAATGCAAATGTTTGTTATAAAAAAAAGATTCCGTTTTAAAAAATCTGCTATTTTCTGTTTTTAAAATTAAAACCGAAAATACAAAAATAAAAACAAATTTAAAATATTAATGAAAACTCAAAATAGTATCTCAACAATACTAAAATAGCACTGCCTTAAAACTGAGCAATAATAATAGTGTTGCTTGCTTCAGCAAACACCAGTAATGAATCATATAATATTCATTTTGAGCTCTTGGTGAACAAGCCACATTTTCTAAAGGTTTGCTGCCTGCTTTGATGAAACAGAACATGTTTTATGGGTCTGTTCTTGTGTAAAGTGTCATGAGTGCACAGCGCCCTCTGATGGACGGAAACGGCATCGGCCTCCTGTCTCTTTCTATTAACATGCCCTCTGAAAAACAGGGGGGGGGGGGGTTTGGGGGG